ATGGCAAAACCAAAAGTCCTAATAAAACATGTCATTAGATCCAAAGTAGGAACTTATGTCATTCAAAATAATAGAATATAAGTAAAATAAACAGGAATTTCTCTTCAGAGTCTAATCATAATCAATATCTGGGTTGTAAAATAAAATAATTTCTTTTTTTGCAAATGTTTTTACATTAGGTTTTTAGCCAAGTAAACTATGAAACCACTAAAGTTTAGAAAAAAGGAAAATCACAAGAAACCTACAATAAAGACGAAAACAGAGAAAGAACAAATATACCATCACTGCAATTTCTGACAAATTGGGTACCAACTAAATGAATAGAGAAATAAACACAGTATACAAAATCCTGAAAGAACACAGTGTCAGAAGACAGTAAAATGAAGGCTGAAACTGTAAAATAAAAGCTAAATGTTCAATTCACTCCATCATAAACATCTAGTTTGAAATATCACAGAAATTATAGTCATGGATCAGTAGATTTTGTGATTCCATATAAATTCTATTGAACAATTATTTATTTTAGGCTACTTCTTAAGCTACTATTCTACTTGTACATATATTTAGTATATAAAATACATTTTCTTTTAAGATAATATGCTAAGTTAATTTTACTTAATGCATACTAAGAAGTAAATTGTATCACTAAAAATATATTACTATTATAAAATTTTCTAAAGCAAAACTTGAGTATCAGTTTTCCCACCTTATATAATAAATACTACCAAAATTGTCTGTTTAAAGATGTCATTAAAGTCTAATGACAACCTCATCAGTCTAATGTCCCAAACTCCAACAATTGAAAACTTATGTTCATGATTCTTTGGAGGTGATATATTAAAATTCTGAGTATAAATTTCTAATCTTAGATTAGTAAAATCATATGAAAATGTATTTCTAGGCCTGAATTAACAAGTATAAAAGATCTGGTATATTAATTAAGTTGTAGATATCCACAGATGCAGGTTCTAATTTTCCTTTTTAAAGACCAAAGCCCTTACCTATTCAATTAATTGCTGGGAAAGACTAAAAAGAAAATATATTATCTAATATATTAGAACTTGAAATTCTGAATTTATTTTTACAGAATTTGAATTTAAACTAATAGGCACACACTGTTTTCAAAACTCTTAAAAACAAATGAGCCTCTTTAGTAATGTTCCAACCTACTATACTTTTCTTCTTTTGCCTACAAGGATTCATAATTTATGCTGTAAGAAAGACATAATTGGTTTTATGTTTTTTTAATTTAAAAAATCCTGTTTTTATAATACTTTTGTTTTACTTGTATAAAAATACAAACTTTTCTCAAATAATAACTTTAAAAAAAATAAAGAAAAAATTTAACCTTTTCATTATTTGTTTTTTTTTTTTTTGTGGTGCTGAGGATCAAAACCAGAAAAGAATGAATTTGTTAAGCTGATTATGAGGTTAGTTATAATCCCGCGATGTAATGATTGTCTGTTAGGGTCCATTGCTACAAAGACAAAAACAAAAAACGGCCCTTCCTTGGTCAGACACAAGTCCAATGCAAAATGTCTGGCACATTCCCCTAGCAACTCCTTCAGGTGCTAAGACTTTTAAAACTTGTACAGCTGCAATTTTATTTAAACTTAGATGAGAAAAGGGGAAGAGGGAAAACATTAAAGATGACAGACATCTGCTTGCCTTTCACAAAGAGGTGAGAAACGAAGACGCAGAATTCAATTTTTTTAAAAGAGGTTAAACCAGAGAAATGTTGAAAATAGTGTACTAAAGAAACCGGTGGGTAAAAAATACTTATTGAAGGTGTAGCCTGCACTTTTTGGTATGCAGTTTCAACTTATTATTCATAATAGATTTATAAAATATCTTATTTATGTAATTTCTATTCTTTTAGTCATGTCATTTGTTTAATTACCAAAATTCACCTTCTACAAAGGTGGTTATTAGAAGCTTATGAGGAATTAGCATCCATACTACAACAGAGGCAGAATCTTATCCACAGATCTGACATCTTCTTTTTCCCTCTTTTGGTGGTTCTAGGGACTGAACCCACACCTTGTACATGCTAAGTAGGTACTTTATCCCGAGCTACATCCCCAGCCCTCCCACAATTATGATCATAATGAAGGATCTTTCCCTATTTATAGTTTCTGCAAAATATAAGATAAAAACTATCCCGTAAAAAACCTGTTAAACAATATGATGAGACAGAATGGCTGGTACAACAGTATAATGAGGGCCTAGTCTCAGAATCTTCCTGCTAAGTCTAATGACTATGCCTTTCTAAGACACACACACACACACACACACACACACACACATACACAAACACATATATGGAAAATAGATATAATATATAAAATATTTACATATGGAAAATAAGAGCTATTAACAAAATAAGGCAAAACAGAAAATAGTTAAATTCTGAACTACTGGATCAAAAAGTTTTGAATAATTCTTTGTTAATTTGTAAAATTAGTCAAGTATCTCAAGAAAAAAAATTGATAATAAAATTCCTCTTGAATTATTTGATTTATGGGAAAATACAGGTTTCTCTACCAAAAAAGCTAGGGCCTACACTCAAACTCGAGACTTAGTTTTTATTAAGTCATACATCTTTACAATTAATTTTGAAAGTTTTTGTCCACTTCTTTTTCTTTTAATTTAAATGATTTTCAGAGAGTTTGAATAGCTCTGAAACACTTTTTCAAACCAAACTGAGATGCTTGACACTAAGAACAATATAGAAACTGTGAGAAATATATATATATATAAGAAAAAAAGGTACTTGAGAGTTTTTGCCTTCTTTTTATAAACCCAGTGACTATTTAAAGTAATTGTCTCAAACCTTCAGCCTACTTCACTTTTGACTTTATATTAGAAAATATAAGAATATGAACTTCAGTAAGATATTCCAACTACCCTCTATCCTAAAAAGATCATTGATATTAGAAGATGTTAATCAGTACTGGGAGAATCACTACACAGCACAATATTAGGTGAGCTTGAGTTCATCAGCAATTTTATGAAAATAACATGGCCAAGCCAATGAAGTGACAAAACTCACATCTCCAAAAGAAGGTAGATTTTATAGAAATGTATTGTGTAGCCTGTTTATGTAACCAAATACCAATGTTCAGCATATTCTCAAAAACTAGACTCAAAGTGGAAAACATCTTAACACTCAAAATTTCACATGGCCTTTTTATTACTGAGACTTTATCATTATGCAACTCTATTTCTTCTTATAAGTACTGGCAAAGTTTCCAGCACAGGAGAAAAGAATACATAGTCATGGTGCCATTTTAAGTGAGTTTTTTAAACATTCAGGCTCAATAAGACCACAGATTTGGAAGAAAAAAGAAAGTTCAAATGTAAAGAGACATAATAAGAAATCTTTTTTTCCCCTATGCAAATGATCAATTAGTTCAATCACTTATTTCTCAAACTGGTCAGAACATGGAGGAATTAATAACAGAGACTAATGAGGATAGATGGAATGGAATTGCTAGTTACAAGACACTTTGGTGGGTTCAACCACATCAGCGGGAAACAGCATCAACGAAAAGAGAAAGTAGAAGCCTCATTTGAAAAGGACATGAACACAAAGAAAACTGTTTACAAACCAAAGAATTTCAAACTCAGATTAAATAATACAATTAAGATCTTTGGTAGCACACGCCTGTAATCCCAGGGACTCAGGAGTCTGAGAGGCACAAGGATCATAAGTTCAAGGTCAGCCTCAGAAATTCAGCAAAACTCTGTCTTGAAATAAAAAAAATAATGAGGACTGGGGATTTAGCTCTGTGGTAAAGTGCCCTTCGGTTCAATCCTGGGTACCAAAAATAAATAAATATATTTTTTTTAAGTTTTTAAAATCTTGATAAATTAAGCATTATACCATGAAGTCTTCAAAGAACAAAGCCATAAAACAATATTTTTTTAAATGAATTTTATTATACTATTTACTTCTTAGAAAGAAAGTTTCACTAATTATATCCATTATTCTTTAACTTTTTATTTTGAAATAATTAGTCACACAGAGAAGTTCCAAGCTACCTTCCCTCCAACAACTCTAGCACTATCAACAACCCTACATCAACACAATTCACAGCAACTACATATGCACTAGTGTGTGTGTGCATGTAACTATGACACTTTATCACACATGCAGGCTTGTACCATAAACATCACTATGATCAATATCCTAAACTGTATAATCACAAGACTTCCCATGGTATTCTTTTGCAACCACTAATCTTTTCTAAACAATTTATTAACAAAGGTAGGTTAATCCACTGTCCTACTTCAGCTATTACATCAAAGGTAGATACTTAGCTACTGAGGAGTAGAAAATAACCAAGTATGAGGTTTCATTTTTTTTTAAAGTCCTACATGAATGCACAAAAAAAGCATACATGTGACAGCAGGAGAGATGGAGGGCAGCTTAGAAGTGCTGATGTTTGACTGACAATAACAAGGAAAGAGGGCCATATTTTCAATGGAGGTTCTGGTTACACCTCATGTATTTACCCCAGACCTGGTAGTACAATGCAGTCTAAATTTCTCAACAGCTACCTAAAAATGATGAATTAAAACTAAGAGAACAAAAAAGAGTCAGGTAGGTAATATTTTAGAAATCTTAAAGGGAAAGCAATAAACTACTTTCATTTCATAGACCTCTTACGCAGTATATTTAAAACAGGAGTATGTTAAGTTAAATACATCATTTAACAGTAATATGGAAAGTCTACAATGTACTCCATTTACTCCTTACTAAAAAGTTGGTATTATAGAAAAAAAGACTTGAAAATCACAATATATTTGTGGACATTTTATTAAAAATATATACATAATAGCATTAATATCAGAAGCTTTTTCAAAATACAGAAACTAACAAGAAGTAAGAAAAGTAGCATATGTTCCTTAAATAATTAGGCACATTAATAATGCACTTTGAAAAGTAAACTACATCGGTTCATGCATGTTGCAATTCTCCCAAATCCAATACTTACATTCAAACTTTAGAATCCAGCATCCATTAAGAATTCCAAGCATACACTTCAGAGTACTCTGAACTTCATCACCAGGTACAATGACATGAGTTACTAAAACACAAATATAGTAGTAAGAAAAACAGAGATATAAACCAAAGTAATTAATATCCTTTAAAAAAATAACCAGTTAGTACATTTTATTAACTTATACCTGAACTTTCTTCAAAGGTCACAATTTTTATACACAAATAAAGGACTTTTTATATCATTCTCTAATCTGACCATCAACATGAAAAATTAGATCAATAGTTTACCAATAGTAAAGTTGAAGTCACATTAGCAAATGCAAATTTTCTGTTATTTTCAAATTATAACTGAGGAATTACTGCATTACATAGCATTCTAATGTCACTGGCAAACCCATAAATTTGCTCTTCTGACATACTTTCCTAAAACATGTATAAGGTTTCAAACTTCACATTTTGTAGTAACATTAAACCTGTAAGTAATTTATTACAACAAAAACATTTTAGGTTGTTACAAGATACAAAGTATATATCTCAATGGTTAAAGCATATCCAAGTTAATTTTCCAAAGTGATTACCTATTTAAAATTTTTTTCTGCTAAAAATAAAATCAAAATCCTCACCTGTACTGTCAAACTCAGCACATTTTTTAGCCTTAAGAATTGTTGCAAGTTCACTGAGCATTTTCTGTTGTTCTGAAGAAAGTCCACTGCCTATAACCACAAGTGGTCCATCTCTACGCTGCCCAGTATTCACCTGTTAGTGAAAAAGGAAATGCCACAGCAGTAAAATTTAGAAAGAGACATTCAACAGGATGTCACCTGATAAAAGACTGAATTTCATTACTTCACTTACTCTATTTAATAATTCCCAAAAATGTCTAATGAACCTACACTCACGTCCCTGATGCTCAACATATTTGAGTAACTATTTTTCTGTTCCTTTATTTTCCTCCCAAGAAAACATAAATTGGGCTAGTTCTCTTTACCCAGGACATCGTTCTTCCTTGTTGTCAAACCAGATCTCTGTAGGGTTTAAAATTTTAGTCTGTCACTGGTAAACCCAAAGTATCAATTAAAATGATCAATTCTCTTTGCCTCCTCCAATTATTCAACAGAGTTAAACTCAACTTGCTCAATTTAGTTGAAATTGAGATTATCTATAAAGTCAAAGAACACGGAAGCTTTATGGCCTCAAAGAAGACAAATGTTTATTAAAGCTAAGGAAAAATGAAAATAGAAAAAAGAATTCAAGTTAGGAGATTGGATCCATAACAGTGAGAAGTCCATGTCACTCATGAGAGAGGAAGTAGTACTCTAACAAAGACTTACACTTTTATTTTAACAATTATATTTAGAGTTTAGGAGACAAAAAGATACAAAAATAAAGAGAAGACACCAATGTATGTCAGTAAAGATTAGAAATGGAAGATGCAAAGAAACAATGACAAAGTGGCTAAAGAACAGCTAATAGAAATTTAGTAAATAGAATTAGAATGAATTTCCAAAAGCTACCTGATGAAACAGAAGTAATAATCCAGTGAAGAAGAAAAGTTAAATCAGTACTGCTGTATTAAAGGATAAAATGCCAAATGCAATACTGTCCTTTTCAAACATGAGACACAGGGCCCTTTGTGTATGTATGTATATTGGGCATCTGGGCTTTCCAGAGCTCTGAAGTACATGAGAAGAATGATGAAGGCACAAGCCCACAGAGCTGGGAGAAAGTCAGTATTCACTTCACACAGCACAACAGTTATAATTCATATTATACCTAAATCGTTGGCTACATCTATAAATAGGCTAATTTCAATAATTCAGTATTCATTCCCTCAAAAAAGATTAAATGAGATTCTACTATGTATTAAGCAAGCATATAAGTCAGTTTTTAAAATATTTGCATAGATTTTGTTTTAAAAATAATAGTATTCAGTAAGTTCAACTAGCATACTTACTTATTCATTGCAAATTCCAATAGCAACAGTTTTACTGGGCATGGTACATATTCCACACCAATTTACAATCACATTTCTATAAGCATTTTTCCTAGTCACTAAATTATAAAACAATGTAAACATGACTAAACACTGTAAACACCCTATAACATGAAAATGTTCAGTACACTCAATATACTCTATAATTATTCAATTACTATATGATGATAATATTAAAAAACAGTATGTCAAAAAATCTTGAGTTAGGCAAATAAGTGCCATAAAACTAGCTCTAAATAGAATACATTACTCTTCAACTTATATAACTCTAAATTAGTTCACTGCACAAAACACAAAAGTAGAAAGATATCATATCTAAATATAGGATGTTATACTATCTGTACCAAGAAAACTACCAAAGTGGGTCAAGCATTTTCCTATCATAGTTTTTAAAATCTCCATAAAAAACGGAAACTGAAACTAATTTCTCATAGTGAAGGAATGCTATAATAAAATATAAAGCAAACAGCTGCCAAAGCCATACGTTTGACTTAGGGAGGGACTGAGCATGGGGGCTGGGGATTCTATTTGAATAAGAAAGGGTCTCAGAACCATGAGGCTCCAAAGAGGTTCAAGAAATAATCCAAGAGCTCAATACCCTGATTTTATAGAAATTAGACATTTTGTTCAGCGGCATTAAACTCACTCTTACTCAAATAATAATTCAATGTGGTACTTTTCTCAGATAATTATTATTAGTGATGAGTTTATAAAAATGGAGTTAAAAATCTGGAAAGAATAAAAAAATAAATGTGCTGCTCAAAAGGGATCATGGGCAGAGAAATCCCCATATGAACATGGCCAGCAGTTTTGTTGGTCTTTAAGATCAGAGAGTATTTCTCAAATTCAAAGCAATGTATTCAAATAGTTATTAACTAATACTTCTCAACCCTTCCCTTCACCTGATATTCCCTGAAGCAGCTTCTTGGAAAGGATTCCAGACCCAGCCACCAAGCACTTGTGCTCATTTTAGGGACAAGCATGCCTCTAACAGGGCACTACAGTGCTCCTGCACACAGTCAATAAATACTTATTAAGCCCTTAATATATGCCAGAAACTGTTTTCAATGCCAGAGTTAATATAGTAAATAAGACATTCAGTCCCTGCCTTCACAGAGTTTATATTCTAGTTGGAGCAGGGGGAAAAAAACAATTCAGTAAAAACATCTGATACCAGATAATCTGTGGTATGACAATACAGGGGGAGCGGAGCGGGTGAGCAACCTTGGGAGATACTCTTTCACAGGCAGTGGCACAGTCAGACTGGAAGGAAATGAGAAAATAGGTCACATGAACATCTGGCTCCCGACATCTGTTCCTGGCAAAGAAAACAACTAGTGCTAAAGACCTAACAGAGAACATACTTGGTGGACTCAAAGGCAGCCCATGTGGCTTAAAAAGGTGAGCAGAAAATGCCTGGGGGCAGCAGATCCCAGAGTTCACATCTTAAGGGTTCTACATAAAGAAGCTATGCTTTCAACTTACACTTGTGATCAGGTAATGGTTTTTCTTCAGCCTCGTTATCAACCATTAAGACAGTAAATAATGATACTCACAGGCCAAATCCACATGACAGTACAGATTCCTCATATTCAATAATAAAAATCCTTATTTTCTGAAGGCATTGCCATCCTCAGACTCCAAGAATACCATAAAGATATCTTTATTTCTGACACACTTAATGTGATCCTTCTTCAGCTTTTACATAAAAGGAACACTGACAAATGACAACTTTGATAAGCTGTGTTCTGCCAGGAGAGTTCAAGTATAAATGAATAAAATAAGTAGCATTAAGTAGTTATTAAGTATGGTGGAACTGAATGAGAACTGACCTAAGACTTAAGAAATTTGAGTTCTAACTGGTCCATTAAGAAATATTTTTTTTTAATGTCTGGTTAATAACCCCGGGCAAAGCAACACCTCTCTAGGTCTCAGTTTTCTCATTTGTAAAAGGAATAAATTAAACTGCTGACTTCTAAGTTCTCTTCTAGCTCATTTCCAAAACTATAATTTGGAGCACATTTATAAGGTTGCAATCTAAAGCAGAAGATAAAGAGCTTGCAACTATAAAAGAAACTAGCCTGTGATGGAACCTATGACCACATCAAATTGTAACTACCTCAGCCATCTCTGTAACTTCAACAAGGCATCAATCACTAATCCATTGCCCTTCCTAGACAGGAAGTCTCCTGGGAATGCTGTTTCCTTCAGTTTATCCCCTTCCCTCATCTGAGCAGTTACCAAGATACAGCAAGTCCATCAACTCTTTCTTTCTCTCTCAAACTCCTTCTTTTCTCCATCTCCACATTATTACCACCACCCTCAATTCCAGGCTTCACCATTTCACACCTGAACTCTACCACAACAGTCTCTCTGTCAGCCTCAATCTCTTCCTTCTCACAACTGGGTCCTCCAGACCACCCCATTCCAGTTAAACACAGTAAAGGTCCCCAGTAAGTCTAAAGTCCCTATCAAGAAATTCAAGGCCTTTCACAGGCTGATCCCAACCCAGTTCTTTAGCCCAAATTCCACTTTAACAAACCTTAGTTCCTCTCACCCTACACTGTACAGTGCCTTGAATTTCTAAGGTTCTTTATGTCTCCTTTCCTCCTAGCAGTTGCTCTTTAAAATTGAACTACTTTCTTCACGATGTTAAGATTAATAAAAGTGAACAACGTTGTTGTCCAGACAAAACCCATTCCTCACTGCTTCCACACTACCAAAAGTCCAGGTATGGACCTTTTAAGATCTGACCCTATTTCCAAGCCCAAGGTATGTCAAAACAAATTTAGTACTGGTTCTGACAAATCAGACACTGGGGAAATTAACAATAAGATCCCTGGGAAAAGTTTTAGTGACTCTTTTACAGGTGGCCACTGTCACATCTGAAATTGTGGCGATGATCCTATGACCACTAAGGGGACACAGCTTACAAATATAGGATGGCAAAGCAAATAGAAAGAATTTGGGTCCTTGGTACAGTCCTTAACTGCTGTGTAAAACAATGCAGAGCTAGCCTATGGTGGGATCACCTTTAAGATAATAAATTAAAAACTTTAATCATTTGTGTAAAGTTTTTCTAATATTTGTATCTAACAGCATTCTAACAGATAGCCTGCTAAAACTCTTACCTTGAAGACTGAGACATCTTCTGTCATCTTCTCTGTGAAGTTCTTCCTGAACCCTTCTGAAGTTTTCTTTTACGTTCTCTATGATTCTATTGTACATTTTTAGTGCTTCTATTATAAATTTACTACAATGTGCAGTAAAATTTTTATATCTGTATTCCCTACTTAGTTGTGGGTTCCTAAGGAAAAGGCGTTCTTTCCACTTTATCTCTTGTATCTTTGTCACTTGTGCCTTTCTCCTTAGCTCCAAAATCACATATCCAACAACCTACTCTGTTTGATATAAAATTGGTGTACACTACTACAGATTCCCTTCCCCATAATACAATATTTACACATTCACAGTCTATCTTTCTTCTCTATCTCACACTAGCAGGTAAGTCCCCTGAACTTATCTATTCAATCTGTCTCTTTTCTGCTTCTCACTAGCAGGCAAGTTCTTTGAAGTAAGGGTTTTATCAGTCATATTCATTGTTGTATGAATGCTGCCTTAAGTACAAAGAATGTTCAATAAATATTTCTTGATAGTCTTACTCTGATTGTCTCTGAATCCACCGTAGCTACTACTAAGAAAGTGCTCAATAATTGTTTGGTGAATGAAAGCCATTTGCTAACTGGAAATTTTTCCATTATGTTCCTTTCATAACCAATTTCAATAAAAGATATAAATGTCCCAAAGCTAAATCTATACTTACAACTGAGCAATGGCTAGTTGAGGATGATTCATTCTTCTCTGGTAGCAGCAATAATGATTTCATATTTTCATTGTCTGTATAATCCACAGGCCGCAGACCAAATATGTTACTGGTAAAATAAATGCAGATGGGTCTAAGTAAATAAAATGTGTGACTTGATTCTTAACAAAATGGATGTACTGGTGGAATAATTGTTTTAACATCCTTAATGATACACAATGTTAATGAAAATAAATGACTCAGAACTCACATTAGGCACATGGATCCAGTATCAAAAGCTACTGAATTCAATGAAGAAAGATGTGAAATTTCAATATGACACCAAATCATTACACAGAGTATTTTTAATTGAATATGTTTTAACTCATATTTGAATTTTTCCACAACTCTCGTTTTCTGTATTCATATTCACATTTTAAAACATGGTTTCCTATTCATTAATCACTACGGGTGAGATGCTTTCACATGCAAATATACATCATTTACTATAGCTATTACAGGCTCTATAGTCTGTATAAACAAATATAAAATTAGATAACACAGCATAGACATTTAGATCCATTAGAAGGAAAACTATGCTGCATGACAAATAATTTAATAAAGCAGAAAATATGGCACTTTAAAAATTAATTTTAATACATATATATACTCTAATCTATAATAATCACAGCCATCACAGAACAAACCATTGTGGTCCAGAGAGCAATTTGATGTAGACTTCTCAGCATGCACTGATTCATAAGATACAGTGTTACACTGAAGAGACTTTACATCACAGTAGGAGCCCCTTATTTTATAGACAGGAAAATAGAGAAGAACAGTTTCCAATGACTAGACTAAGATAACATGCTCTTGTTCTTTCCAGTAAGATTCAATGCTGTCCATCCACTTCTCTCAATTGTAAGTAATTCTTACAACCTCAGGACTCTTATCTATTCCACTTCTTTACATATGGTCTGTAATCAGCTTGGAAAATATTCATGCATTCAATTTCAATAGCTATTTTTTTTTTAATGTACCAAGAACTCTTGCAAGCTCTAAAGAACCAATGAGATAAAAGGTTATTCTACCTTCACAAAGCTCAATGGGCAAAATACAGAAAAGCAAATAGAAGGGACTTTGCAGTCTGGTGAAGGTTCCAAGGTCTGAAAAGGGAATGAAGAGAAGGTAGAATAAGAATAGAAAAGTGTATGTGAAGGCCTTTAAACAAGGTAGCACAGTAAATCAGAAACAGAAGATAAGAAAAGAGAAAGTGAAGAAAGAGAGTAAGACAAGGACCACAGGGAATGAATGGGGTGATGGGTAAACAGGCGCTCTGGAGTGTAAGCTGCAGCCACATTATGTAAAAACAAAGGGGTGGTGTTTAAGAACTGAACTTCCACCTCAGAACAGTTTCCTAAGCAGCCATAAGCAGGAGAAAAGGCACTACCAGAGTACGCTGGTTAAGTGCAGGGGTTGCAGAACCCGACTGCCTAAACTTAAATTCCAGCTCTGCCAATCAAAAGCTATGTGACCTTAGACAAATTAAGCCTCTTGTGCCTCTGTTTCTTCACCTGTAAAATGGAAATAATAATATAGCCTATTTTCTAAAATTACAAGGATGAAATGAATTAATACATCAAAACCACTTAAAACAGTGCTTGGCAGACATATTGTCTGCGTAACTGCCTTAACATTGTCAAAGTGCATTTTTAGAAGACAGATTAAAAAGGAAAGTAAGGGAACATAGTAAGTTATATCTGAAGTATATCATTTCCCTCGATTTTACAATATACTTCATATAGGATTTATAATGATAATTTGCATGTTTAGTAAGGGAAAAGTAAAGAAGCATGTGTTCTGAATACTACAATGAGAATAAATTTTCATTTTCTGTTTGGTACAATCTAAAGAGTATAAGAAGGTAAATGAAAATCCTTTTCCTAACAGGATTCTTTCTGATCACCAAGACTGATAGAAAGGAAGGGTTAAGCTGAAGTGCTTAATGTTTCAACTTTGCCCTAAGGGCAAAGTTCACAATGCAGGTAAAACCCTTCAATGTCCTTTTCCCTACAGGAATGACACAGTAGAAACTGCTTGCAACTGTGCACTGAGTGAAAAACACCACAAGTAAAAAGGGAAAAGTACAAATTTAAACTTTTACTCAAACACACAGATCATCCAATCTGCAAAAGCAAATACAAAAAAGACATTTTTACTAATGCTAAACCCATCACCCATGACAGAAAGCCAACATGGTCCATAAATGAAATCCTTTATGAACAAGTACAAAATTGCAAATATAAAGATTTAATTTTTCAAGTCATTTTGCCTATTGTGAACAGAAAAAAGTACAATCATTGAAAAAAGTTAACATGTTTTCTTAAAGCTGTAAAACATAAATTATCCTTGTTGTAGGTGATTTCATTTTTTAGAGAATTAACTAGCACAGGAAGACAATTAATAGGTCCAATGATCCATACAATATTTTCTAGCTAAGAATTCAATGTTCTGCCAAGGAAAAGTCTGTTAATAGCAGACCAAATACCGAATTCTAAATCCTACATAGCTGTTATTTAAAAAAAAAAAAAAAAAAAAAAAGCATTTGATATTTTCCACAAGGGTGAGAACTTTAGTCCTGGGTTTGCACTGGGATATACATAAAGAAGTGGGGCAGACGGGTGGCCAACAAGATTTTGAACAGTTAACAATACAAAAATTCCCAGATAATAAATATTATAAAAGATATAAAAATTTTTCTCAATATCTGAGATAAAAATAGAACTAATCTTCCCTCTTGGGCAATGAATTCTTAGCTCAGAAAGGTAAATTACTTGAGCAAAAAACAAGTAAATTCAGAGTTAAATGAATTAGCATTATTTAAAAAGTTTACATAACAAAAGCTGAAAATACATTAAAAGCTATTAAAGTGTGACTTCACAGTAAAATGGAAAAATGTTCAAATTAATTAAAAAAAAAAGATAAAATCTGAAATAAAGACATGACTTTCTACTGCATGGTCATTCCCTCCATAACGACTCAGGGCCCCAAAACCTTGCAATAAAAAAATTCAACATCCGAGCATAGCCTCTAAGGGAAAAAACTGGGTTGGGAAGACATCACTGAGAACCTATAAATTACATAAGGAAGATGGCAAATAAAGAGTGTCGACTATATTTTTAATTTGTGTTATATATGGTTAATTCTTGGATATCATGCCTTATAAGATTTCAAAATTTCCTCCCTATATTCAAGAAGTTTTTTAATTCAATTGGCTTTGCAGTGATAATATTCCATTCTTTCTTTTCTTTCTTTTTTTTTTTTTTATTTAATATCTGGTCTTCCGTTAACAGTTACCTAAATATATTACTGAGCTGTTGACTCTCCCCACTTTCTGGGCTACAAAAAGGTTCTCAGTTATATTTACAATTTATAAAACACTACTGAAAAGACAGTTCTTAAGCACTGCCTCCACTATTAGGGTCATGTGATCTGAGCATCACTCATTATAATCTAATTCCAGAACCTTAAAATTTTCTAATCTGGCTCCCCTAGTCCTCTTCTAACAAGTTTTTCTCTCTCCTAAAGACATCTAAAATAACTCGAGGCTGATTTTGTCTTTTTTTTTTTTCCTTCTCTCTCCCCCAGAACTATATTACAAAAATTTTATTCCTTTCTATAGTTTGGTTTACCTCTAACTGAAATAATTAAAACTAAAATTCATACAGCAGCAGAAAAGTTGTAAAGTATAATGAAAATACAGAAATGCACTACATAATGCCATTTTGGTCAACAAATGACCACATATATAACACTGGTCCTGTGAGATTATACTGCCTAATGATGTCACAGCCATCTTAGTTTATGTAGGACAGGATGCTCACACAACAATGAAATCACTTAACAAGGCCATTTCTCAGAATGTATCCCCATTGTTAGGTAAAAGAAGACCATGTACCAAATACTGAGTAAAATCTTCACATGGTGTGAGGATATGGTCCTTTTATCAAACATGCTCTCAGCAGAATTATTGCTTCCTTATATATTTGGTGTAACAAAAATCAAAAAATATTTTAGCTACAGGGCCCTGAAATATGTGAAAACAGAAACAATATTGTTTTAGCATTCAGTATACAAAAAGACTACCACAGCATCTGATTAAAAATACATAAAGAAAGACTTCAAGTTTTAAGGGTTTGTGATGTCAACATTATACATGTGGGAAATAAAACAGGGATGGTATTTCCTTACAGACCCTGTCTCATTGCTGTGTTCAGTGCTAACCACCAGTACAATAATCTTCTTGGGCATCCTTCTGAAAAATCATAGCCTCAGATAAAATTGCAAAACAGGCAGTTTGTTTTTATAGTCCCACAGGAACTATGTAAGCCTAAACTTAGTGGGATAAAAAAAAGTCCATCTTCTCTTTAATGCCTGATTCCTCTATTAGTTAATTGTTATTTCAGAGTAATACCACTAATAACAAAATTGGAGAGATCTCTAAAAATCATATAATATGTAAGTTATCAAAATAGATAATGTTGTACCACCTCAGGGTACAAGCTTATTTCTGCAAGATATTCTATTAATGATCCAGAAGAAAAAAGACTGGAAGCATTCTGATTATTTTTTAAAAACTAAGAGTATAATTTTGATATTAAAATCTGAAGGCAAAACATGAAAAATCTCAAATTATTCTAACTTATAATTATGCGAAACTCCTAGTAAACTGACATAAATATTTGTTTGAAGAAGCTGTGTGCCAAGTACATGCATACAGTCCCAGCTACTGAGAAGGCTGAGACAGGAGAAGAGTTGGGCCTAAGAGTTTGAAGCCAGGCTCAGCAACTAGGAATCTGAAGCTAGTCTAAGCAACATAACGAGGACTGGTCTCAAAAAAGGAAAAAGAGAAAAAAAAAAAATAGAATAGTTATGATGATAAGAATAACAACAATATACCACACCAAGTTTATCTTAAGAATTCAAGAATGGTTCAACATTAAATATATGAGATGTGGTCTCATGTGTTTGTGACATCACCACACAAAAAGTACAGGATCATTTCATATAATATGAAAGTCATTTAATATATACAGACTTATTAAAATAATGGTAAACAACTAGAAGGAAGCTTCCACAGGACAATAAAAAACATCAATATTTACAATAACAACGTCAAATTGATTGTAAACCTACAGTCAGAATTTACAAAAAGGACAAAGCAAACAAGCTATCACCATTATTTTACAATAATTCTTCTAGATGCTTGGACAATTGTAGTAAGAAATGAAAATTAATAAATCATAATGATATTCTTAATATAAGGTGTTGGCTGGATAGAAAAGAAAGGGACTAAAATCAATAGTTTTCCTATATATCAGGAGTAAGTTATATTTATTAATAAAGCATTAAATTAACTAGGTCATCAAAAGAACTAAATATCTAAAATAACCTCAAAAAATAGTTATGTGTATCTGTATACACACACACATACACACACATATACAAAAGATTAAAAACTTTGTAAGATATATGAAACAGAAGACTTAAAACATACGAGGGTCTTGAATGAAAAAGTAACCTTAATAATCCACTGCAATCTATATTCCTACTCAATTTCAACCAAAATCCTAGTACAATATTTTTTAAACTTGAGAACACTGACAAATTGGAGAGGGGGATAAAATGGCCTTAAAAGTTGTAATACTACAAGAATTGCCTTGGGCAGTCACAATCCCCAAAAGATAACATGCCACAATGCCAGAAGGGCAAGAGAGGAAGAATTCTCCCTGGGAACACATGATATTTATTCAAACAAGCACCAGGAACCAGATCCTTTACTATTAAAAAAAGAGTATTACTTACAGAAACTTGGTTTTCAACATACTTGTCACACTTACAGTAAAGCTGGTAGCAAAAGGAGGCAATTTCTCTCTTATCTCATCTGACTTTTTATCAAAAGAGGAAAAAGTATACCACATCTCCATTTGTTCAAACACTTGATGATTCTCTCCACACAAAATTATATGTATAGACTATATTAGGCATTTGACTGAGCCTGGAAGGGCAAACATGATCCCTGATCCATAAAACATGCAATCTAAAAAGAAGATAATATAAAGTAAACACACCAGCACTTAAACTGTGTGACCAGGGAGAACCACTATAGACAAACATGAGGAATCAGGAAAAGCAACCAAAAGGAAGTGCTATCTGAGATGAAACTCAAAAGAATGAGAAATTGATTACCAAAATGAATACTCCAGAGGAAAAACTAAAAGCATATGTTAAGGCTTTTTTTGTTTGTTCATTTTTCCACAATAGCCTGGCACATTTTAAGGAAATAAAAATTCAGAAAGGCTAGTGAAAAAAAACTCTTATAGGAAAGGGGGACAAGAGGTTCAGTGGTAAGACAGACAAGGTTGAAGAGGTAAGTAGTGCCAGACCACACAGGGTCTTAAAAATCATACTTTGGAGTTTAAAGTTTATTTTAAAAACATTATGAGGAAGGAAGCGAAGAGTTTTAAGCAAATACTTAATCTGACAGAACTTGTATTTTCTGAAAATACTCAGGCAGCAGAATGGGTAATGAATTAAAGAAAACCAATCTGAAAAGGAGGAGGCCAGCAGGACACTGGTAAGACCAATTAGGTGAACAAGAACTACTATCAAACAAAAAGTAAAAAACCACAGGGACAGTATTTCAGAATGATAATCAATAGTCTACAAAATATATAACAATGTTTAGAAACAGAGACCATACTATTATGCCCAAGAACTACATTAACAACTGCATCTGACTTTTGACTGAGACCTTTTTATCCAGTATCAATCCTATCTTCTTTTGTTAAATAAACCCCTCTTCCCAACTGTATCACATGTAACTATTTAATTAAAAATTAAATACATTTTCAAGTACAGTTTCTCAGTAGTGATAGCTAATTTTCAAGTGTTCTATATCTACAGATGGCTACTGGCTACTGAATGCCCAGCATTGATATAAACATTTCCATCACCAGAGAAAGGACTACTGGACAGTGCTGGGCTATACATAAACCTAAGTCTGTCACTTCTTTAGGTAAGTATATTTAAAACAAGTGCTTGTCCTCTCTGAGAAGAAACCTGTGAAGGCAGGCTCATTCATTGTCTCATACCCACTCCTTGTATATTAATAAGTCCTCACACTACAATGAAGAATCATGGTGTACAAACCACAAAGACAGGCTCTGTGTTTTGGCTCATTAATCCTCACTATGCTTTGAAGAAATAGAAAAGCAGCAGGCATCACCCATGTTTTATAGGTGTGGACACCAAGGCATAGAAATTAACCTGCCTGAGGCTATAAAGTCAATAATGGAGTCACAAATAAAAGCTGGATTCCCTAACAACCTGACCAGTGCTCCATTCATTATAGTAGTCATGGCTGATTTAAGAACCCCAGGATGGAAACTATTCAGTTTCACCTGACCCAAGAAACCATTTGCTTTATCAAATGGCCTGCTACACCCTCAAGAGGGTCAAATCTGTTAGGTCCTTATGTAGACATAGATATCTCTATTAGATTCATGTATACACACACACACACACACACACACACACAGAGAGAAAAAAAAAATATATATATATATATCCCTTGAGTATGCCCCAACCCCAAATATCTTATGACTTGTGAAAAGAAATAAAGGAGATTAGACACACTTATTGAAACTAACAGCACTAAGGTATGGTACATTCTTGCATTATTATTTTGTTTTTCAATTATGTTAAATTGTTACCTATAAAATATTACAACTTAGAAGCTCTATATTTTCCAATTCTTATTTTCCTCTGTAAACTGGGTAAGCCTGACTTTTGTGTGCTCTTTCAAAACCTATAGAAGCAACTGGGGCACCGAGAGGCAATTCTGACATTTTCATTTCAACTACCTAATTAACTGAAAAGAGTAAAATAATATATAGGGAGAAATGAGCCAAGTTACAGATTAAAGATATAAAATCTACATACGGCATTTGCTTGTGATACTCTTGACAATAGCAATTTTAAAATGCAGCCGCTAGCATTCACTAATGTGCCTCTGTGCCCTGACACTGCAAAACAATTTACTCAGAGCCTCATTTGAATAATGTGAAAAATCTAGGAAATAATTCTACTGCACTTGCCTAATATCTGAAATCTTATATATTTTAACTGTTGTTATACTAAATATGCAGAAAAAGGCATGAAGAAATGAAATATTTAAACTAATTCTAATGAATCTGAGAGCACAAAAAAATAATTAAGTCTATAAATTCTTATAAATAAGCATGAATCAATCTACAGAATATAAACACTAAGAGAATTTGCCCATAAAATAAAGTTTCCAAAATGGAAACTATTGGCAACTGTTTCTGAAAAAATATAGCAAATCTCCAGTATGTAAAGTCTCATCAAGATAAAGAGCACACATGCTGATTTGAAATATGGAACCTAATGGTCACATCTAACTCTACTTTTAGAAAAGAGAGGAAAACATCAACTTGGGTAGAACAGTCTTTGCTTTATCATGTACCTTGATTTGAGAATACAAGTCAATTTAAAAACAATTTTTAAGAGGACTACTTACACCGCATTCCGGGAGGCTCCACAGGACAGTAACAACCTGACTATATCCACGTGCCCATTCCTGGCTGCATCATGAAGTGGTGAGTCATTCTGGTAGCCAGTGGTGTTCACCAATGCCTTATGTTGGAGCAGCAATTCCACTACCTTCAGGTGCCCATGGTTGCAGGCTTCATGCTAATTCAGTTAAAAACAACAACAACAAAAAACAAAGTGGGGGCAGGGGGAAGGATGAGGAAAAGTGAAGGATAATATAATACCACCATACTTAGAGAAATAAATGGAAATCTCAGTCAGTAAACTTATCCTTACCTAAATACTCATACAGACTATAGGGTTGATGGAAGAGTAAAAGTCACTGTGAATAAATCATCTTTGTGGTGAGATATGTGGTAATCAAAAATCTGTGCAATTCACAGAAAAGAAGAGCCATGGGTAAAGCACTCTTCTTTGTTGTTGTTGTTGTTTTAAAGATAATGCAGCTTTAAACCAACTATAGCTCCTCAACTGTTCCACAATACTTTTAGAACACTAAGGAAAAAAAGACTTGGTATTTAACAACCAGAGCATGTATAAAATCTGAAATTCTCTAAGGCTGAAGAAAATGCACTGTATCAGGTCAATACTAAATGGCAGATCAGCACACAGACACATGCACCCAGTAGAGTGAATGGCATAAGAGTTATTTAAAAGACAAGTTCTCTGCTAAAGTTAGAGTTGTCAGTGATAACAGAACTAACACAGTAGGCTTTCAAAACAGCTTACTAAATAACAGAACAGCTAACAATGGAATATTCAAAGATATATTACATGCAAATCTTTCTTTATGTCTAATGAGCTTCCAACAATTTCACTATATTGTATTCTCATAAATCTCTGGTATATTGTGCTTTCTTTAGCACATATCAATTCATAATAGGCAACACTACATTCAACATGTCTAAGTCTGTAACTAGGAAAAAGGAACTCAAACTAGGCATCAGATCCTTGAAATTACCCACTGACCTTTACTACCATTTGCCTTAGTGGCATTAAAAATAAATAAATAAATAACTTTTCTTTGAAAAGTTTAGCCAGCCTTTGGATTCTAAACAATAAAGTGACTGTGATCCAGACTAAACCCTCCCAGTTTAAGAATTTGCTAAGGAAAAGTCATTATATATACCTTTCAACCTTTTCTGCATCTAGCCTAATGACAGCCTCCTACTTTCTGTGCTTAACTTCTTGTTTAAAGGATAAAGAAAAACCCTCATTTGCTGACACTCTATGCTTTCATTCAAATATCATGCTTTTGTCTTAATGTAATTAATGCATATAGCAATTGTTTCCAAGTCTTTTTACCATTCTTTTTCCAAAATATTCTTCACATTGCTTTTATAGTAATAACAAGTAAAGACTTAAGACACTTAATTAGGTTCCAGTGACATGCTATGCTATAGAACGAATCCTGATGTTCATTAACTCTATACATTAGTTAAATTCAGCAATGTAGTATAACTGGATTCCTAAATTTAAAGGTAGTTAAAAGGCAGCCAATTTCTTGTCTGTCAAAACTGAAAAGTTAAGATGGAAAATAATTATTTTTTATACTTAATAAAAACATAAATTCTTCAGTTTAAAACGAATATAGAGATGCCAGAGGCTTATATATGGACATCATAAAACTATAAACTTTAAGAACTATGAACATAAAGAGAAGAAGAATAAAAAAAAGTAGATACCCGGCACCAGAAACAAACAAAACAAACTAGAAAACTACCAATGGTGTCCATCCAGCATGGTCTTTAACATTCGGATCACTTCCGTTTTGCAAGAGGTATTCAACAGAAGCAACATCACCCTAGTAGAACAATGAAAAGAAAAACATATTAAAAAATATCAAAAACTGGGGGTGTAGTTCAGTGGTACAGTGACTGCCAAGCATTCAGGAGGCCCTGGGTTCAATTCCCCAGTACTGCTGAGAGGGAAAAAGGTATCAAGAACATAAGGAAGATACTTAGGGTTTTGGGCTTTTTGTTTTTTTAAAGATTCCATCTTCTTCAAGAAAAAGTTAAGCTTAAATCTTTTCTCTACTATCTATTGCTCAAGAACTAAGAAATATTAGGCTATGCATGTATGAATAGTACCAATATATTGCATTATACTGTCTATCCTTGAATATGGAGTACAAAATTTTTTATTAGCAACCCATATTCAAAATTCATCTCAAGATACTATATAAATAATCCTGGCCAAAGACCATCTGATCATGATGAAGTTTTTAAAGTTGTCATTTCATTTGTGCAAAAATCCTTTTTGCGCATACATGAAAATGATATCTGAGTATTATTTAAAACAAACACTATTTATGGCCAAGAAAGGTACTGAGTGAAGCCAATGTTAAACTGCCAAAATCTGTTACTTTATTGGCACTTACTTTATTTATCCTAACACATTAATTTAGTTTATGTTCACCTTATTTGCTTAGAGGTATTTCATGGCAGAAGCAGTAGCTATTTAAAATGGCAAAAAAGGGATCAGAAGAACGTATTCAAAACAACACATGAAATAAACATTCGATGTTTATTCCCAAGTTCAAGATTTAAAATCATCATCCATTATCAATTAACTGAATTACAGAAAATAAATTTTGACAAATCTATGATATTTCTTACAAAATCTTTCTTACTACACAAAAGGTTTTCAATCCTTATTTCAACACTCTGGAAGTATATGCAATTATTTTATAACATCAGCTCACGGATATAGTGGAGAAAAAAGGAAAAAAAGATATAAATAAGAAAAACATTTTTGTAATCAAAGCCTGTTTTTGAAAAAGATGAATAAATCAAGAATAGGTGAATTAAATTAAGGCACAAGATAAGGAAAACAAATTAAAGGCAGACAATACTAATTCTATCTTTAAGTTATTAAGGTACTTTTCATTGTTAAATGATATTAAAATTAAATCCCTTTCCAATTTTGAACTTTCTGTGTCTTATGTATCCTGATCTAACTAAATCCGAATATAAGTGAATGGAACTAAGAAGCCATCTTTTGAAAAAAATAAATGACATAGCTTGGAAACTATGTTGCCAACCTCCAATGAAAGTGAACCCTGGTAAATAAATTAAGACTGAAAGAATTAATCTCAGGAAATATCTCATCTCACTCTTATTTATTTATTTATTTATTTATTGGGGGGGGGGCTGAAAATTGAACCCAAGCCCTCACACATGCTGGGCACACATTCCACCACTCAGCTATAAACTAGGCCAAATTTCTACTGTTCCTTTTCCCCAAACTAATACCTTAATATAATATGCAAAGATATCTGACATCTTTCTTTCTCTCTTTTCTTCCTCCCTCCCTCCCTCCCTCCCTCTTTCTTTCTTTCAGTATTGGTCAATTCTTAAAGCCTTCTTAAAAAATCTGTAGTTGGGGGGCTCAGTGTAGAGTACTTGGCTAGCATGTACAAGATCCTGGGTTCAATCCCTAGTACTACCAGAAACATCTAACTACAAAATAAAAGTTATCGCCTCTTTTTAAAACAATGTCAGGCTTTAGGAAGAAAAATGGCATTTATGCAGTGAGATGAAGATAAAATTCTCTTGAAATTACACCATTTCAGGTCACAGCAAATACAACTAAATCTGTTCTTTTAGGATTAACAGGAGAGGTATAGTTTAACTAAATTCACACACACCAAAAAAAAAAAAAGAAAGAAATCACTGAATTTTTTTGAAGAAGGCTAAGTAAATAAGTTACATATGACAGAAAAAACATATACAATGTTGTTAATTATTTTGTGAAACACTTCTTTAATGGAGATGAAATCTCCTACCCCCAATACTTTTTAAATTTATGTGTGTGTATGTGTGTGTGTGTGTGTGTATGTGTGTATTTTTTTTTCCTATTGTGCATCAGGGATTGAACCCAGAGGTGCTCAACCACTGAGACACATCCCCATCCTCCATAATTTTCTATTTTGACACAGGGTCTCACTAAGCTGCGTAAGGCCTGGAACCTGCTATCTTCCTGTCTTAGCCTAGTGAGTCGCTGGGATAACAGACAACCATGCCCAGCTTAATTTATATTTTTTAAACTGAGACATAAAACATAAAAATTATACTCATTTATGGGGAATGATGCTTTGGTATATGTATACATTATATAATGTTTAAATTTAAATAGACATATCTATCTCCTATCATTTCTTTATGGTGAAAAGATTAAAAAAATTTTGTCCTATCTTTTTGAAATATATAATACATATTATCATCTTCTATACTCATCCCATTATGCAACAGCACACCAGAACTTCTTACTCTTATCTAACTATATTTAGCCAATACTCTTGAAATGAAAATTTTCCTCTATTTGGTGGATGTGTACAAGTCACTAATCCCCTAAATATAATTAACATTTGATTTTTAAGAATTTTTTGCTTTTTAAAAAATTATTCCTATTTTCATATTTTGGCTACTTCTCAAGTACAGAACTGCTGAGGGCCATTACCAAGTAGGATTGACGCATCGAAATTTCCTTGCCAAGCGTACCCCATGCTGCTTAGAGGACATTCGATGGGACATTGCAGGCATGCTTTAATAAGGTGACCTTGCTCAAGGACCAAGGCGGATCCAGGTTTAGAGCTGATCAGGTTTGAGGAAGTAACCGGCTCCGGCTCCTTGAGTTTAAAGCGTTGCCAGTTTAAGATAATGGGTTTTAGGGAAGTTGGAAGTTGAAGATTATTGCTGGGATTAGGGTGTTCCTGCTGCTTGTTCCCGTTGAGTTCTCGTGAGATAAAAATGGGATTTGGAGAGAGCCTTGTGGAGTAGGTGAATTGTGCGGGAGACGGCAGAACGCATTTGCCCCTGGACCTGTGTGGAGGCGGTGTGAGAGCTGGAATAAAGAATTGCTGTTTGAACCTACAAAGCTGTGAGTGCCTCGTGATTCTGGTGCCAAGCCGAGACCTTGGCACAGAACCTTTAGAAGGTAGCTTAACGTTTTAAAATAAATTCACACGCATCATGTTTTTATTGTCTTAAATTAAAACAAAATAACGTTAAAGGTTTAACCGACCTAAAAGTAAGCATTATATACGTTCCAAACTGATTATCCTAGTTACAAAAACCCCTCACACTTTCCCAAAATCCCTTAGCTTGCAAATTCTGTTCTTCCAGTATAACATGTATTTAGCAACTTTTGTTCTACACCCAAGTCAGTTCCAAATGAATTCAGGAATATCTACCAAGAAATAAATTTGAATTATTTTAAGCAATCCCCTGAACACCGAAGAGATAAACATCCAGAACCATACACATTCCTTACCTTCAACATAAAAGTATCCACAAAAATACACATGCACACACAAACCCTCCTCAAAAGTTCCCTTGCTTTGATTCTACATGGTAATAACAAAAAGTATAATCTAAAGAAGTCCAGAAAATATAAACACAAGTGCAGAATGGAAGTCATACGGAACATTAAAATAGAATAGAAACAGAGTGACAGTCTGGAGAATACAGAAATTTCTTTTAAGTCACTATTTTCTTTCATGTCACCTCTTCATACTATTAAAGGTGTCTTCTATTAATATTTCACCCCTTGAAATGTATAACTGATTAGCAAACTCCTTACTTCTTATACCCAATCTGCTTTCTCCTCTCTAGTACTTAAAAGTTTGTCACATTTTCATCTTTCTACTTTATGTAAATTTATAGTCACGCACATAAATAAAATTATGATAATTAGATAGGGTCCAATGTAACTGGATAGGCTTGAACTGATATGAAGTTTCCAGGAAATAAATTAACTTCTGCTTCACATTTCTTTAAATTACTTTCTTCTCTAGAAGAATATTTTGAGTAAGAAGCACTCACTCTTATTCCTCATAACTTAGAAGAATAATTGAGGTTTCCATAAACCACAGCTAAAAAGGGGGCGGGAGGGAAATCATCCAAGCAAAGAATTTAGAAAGGCTTATAAGAAATTTAAAACAGATTTGGTATTTTCAAGTAATACTTTAAAGGCTGAGAATGTATCCACTGAATTTTTATATGCTAACTTTTCAATGAAAGGAAAAATTCTTCACATATTCTCACATATTACAGATTTGTGCATATTTTAGCAATATAAATTAGCTTTCCAAAAATACAAACAAAATTATTTTCCATGTTACAAAGGTAACTCTTCTAAAATATCACTAATAAAGATCTTCATAAAATCAGTAGAGAACATTACAATAAAAATTACTTACCCAGCATAGTTAAACATTTCCACAAAAAGAAACTGGACAAGTAGCTAAAACTTCTCCTTTTAGCAATGAGATGTTATTTTAAAAATAAAAAAGCCATCTAGGATAGCACTATAAAATGTTAAACACTTCTCTAACTTCTTAGAATTTACTTAATAATTTCATAAATGATTCTGACTACCTACTCAATATTACAATAAATCACTACTATTATAAAAGCAGACTTGCACGTGAATGGTGGGAGACTCACTGGAAGATGTGAATGCTGACTCCAAGGTGTTCCACAAATTAAAATCGTGAACATATCATAAATGCCAGTTTACTTTCATGTCCTTTACTTTCTCAAGAAGCTAGAATGCAGGACACATAAAAATGATGTGAGTATAGTGAGTTTCAAAGTCAAACCCGGAAGGAGACACCTCCCTAGGGATTTGCTCAGCTCTACTCAGCAGATCTCCACCAGCTTTGTTACAGTTTAAGCAGACCATGCCTCTAAGTTGACTTCAAAATATAATCTATTATGTCTGAATCACAAATACATCATGGCATGCCAGCTTTGAGCCATTCTATCTCATTTGTTCAGTGCTGTGGCATGATTTACAAGTAACTATGGCCATGTTAAGAATCTGTGCCAGAGAACCTGGGATGACAGCGATGTTAACTCCAGTACTTACAAATTCCCATGCACTACTATGTCATCACATAATAGAAAATGGAAAATTTTCTTTATATTCTTAGTATTTTATGTTTTACTAAATCAAAAGAATGAACAATATGAGTGTTAATCAGTCTCTCATAATATTATGTTTTCAACAGCATTTTAGGTCTAAGTGACAGATATTCAAATAAGAACATGGGTTATAATGATATAAGAAGAGGGTTATAGAATTATGGGGGTGTGCAGAGAAGCCAAGTTTTGACTCTCTGATTACTCTAGTTGTCATGCAAATATAATAGGAAAGCAGTGCAAGAAATTAGGGAGCTAACTCTGTGGTGTTGTTCCCCAAAATGACTTCATGCTAAACCTCAATACCTGTGAATATATTAACTTACATAGAAAAGGAACACTGCAATGTGACCAAGGATGTGGACCTTGAGAGGGGAGATTCATCTGTGCTAGTGGCCCCAATCTAATCAGTCTTTAAAAGCACAGAACCTTTCCTGGCTACTACAGAAAGAGCATGTAAGGACTCAGCCTGTTATTGCTGGATCTGAAGACAGAGGAAGAATACCACCAACTGAGGAATTTGACAGAATCTAGAACCTGGGAACAGCCTTCAGATGAAAGACAGAAACCAAGAACTCTGCAGTTCCTGCCAACTACCCAAATAAGCAAGGGACAGATCATTCACTAAAGCCTCTGGTAACACAACTGACAGACTCATTTTAATCTGATGAGACTGATACCAAATTTCTGACTCAAAGAACTGTAAGAAAATTAATTTGCACTGTTTTAAGTCACTAAAGCTTATTATACAGAAAGCTAACACAAGTGACAAAAGACAAAGGGTAATGCCAAACATGATGCCTAGAGATAAGTTTGGTACAAGATATTAAAGAATGTTAATGTTAATAAGATTCCCAAGTTCAGAGATCATTCTGCAAAGTCCTAATTGCAGCAGAGGAACCTAAACAACCCAACATAATAGTACACCTACTGCTATATTCTGTGCCCTCTCGATACACATACCAAGTATGCACAGGCAACCACACCTCCTGAACCCAAGAGAACTACACATAACTATGAAAACTGCAAGTCTACCAATATGCTTTAGGGAAAAACAACCAAGAAAAACCTTATCTTTTGACAACACAAAACCTGCTACTTTCCTTCATTTCCTTTGGCTGCCTTAAGAGTCACCAAATCTAAATTCATTATGCAGTAGCAACTCTTTCCTTTTTCCCTGCTCCCTGTTCCATTTTATGGTAGCTTTAACTTTAAAGCCCCTTCAAATCCTTTTCTAAAGTAGGTGGGTAAAAAATATAACTGAGATAGCAGAATTACAATATTTGGTTTTCTAGTACACCCAGATTGGTCACTCTCGGCTACAAATGAGAAAATCAGGATAAGAATAAGATGAAAATATTTTTCTACAAGAATAAATATAATGACAAATCCACTGTTTTTCCCAAGCATATGTCTCACTGAAGATCAAACTTAGGTGGGGGATATGCATTCTGTTTACAGTAATGAAAAAAAAATAACAAAAAAAACTATTGTTAATTCATGATTTTAAAACAATAGAAATGAACAAACTTCATGTACTGTATCAGCGCCTTCCAACTTATAAGAAAAACAGCATTTAATAATTTAAGTTCAAAAGAACAAAATGGGTAAATCTAATTCTAGTAAGATTCTAAGTAAGCTGACAAAATTCACACGAATCAATCATGAACATATCAACAAAGAAAGTTCACGAAGACAGGATCATGCCACTATATTTTCCCTATCTTAATAATTTTCTATTGCAGCTTTTTTCCACGCCTGGACCAAAAGAACACAAACTGTGACTTGTGGGCCAATCTGACTTTGAGTATAATGTTTAATTGGTTTATATATTATTGTCCATGGCTGCTTTTGCTCTAGAATGAAAGAGTTGATCAGTCATGACATAGACCACATGGCATGCAAAGCTGTAAATATTTACTCTACCTCCTTAAGAAAGGGTTTATTAAAATGGGTGCAGTGGAACACACCAGTAATCCCAGCTATTCAGAAACTTTTCAAATTTAAGGCCAACCTGGGCAACTCTGTCTCAAAATAAAAAATGGCTGACAATGTAGCTCAGTTGTGGAACAATCCTGGGCTCAGTCCCCAGTATCACACACATACGCGCACACACACACACACACACACACACACAAAAAAAAAAAAAAGGAAGAAAAATGAGGGGAGTTGAGGTACCAAAACCTAGCGTAGCCTAGACCCTAGGCTCAGAATACCCTTATTAATAAGAAAAATTATTCTTAGAATCAGAAGAAAAATTCTCTACTAACATAAGTGGATGTTTGCCTGGTGGTTTGAAAATTTCCAAAATGCAAAACACAAACTAAAGTAGGTTACATTCCTATCTACTGGTAAGAAAAATGAACAAAAAAAATACTATTACAGTAACTACTTATGTCTATGAAGCACTAACAACACTGTAACATTAAGATTATAATTGATCATGTGCATAGATATAATATGCATACATATGAAAACAATAACCCCCCCAAAACCCTGATTTTATAAAACCTAAACATAGTAAATGTCAAAAATCTTGAGTTGTCTAAAGAATATGAGATCCCTAACATGGTGATTTGCAGGTCCCCTTCACCCAGCCCCTGAAGGGCAACAGTAACAAAGTAGTCTACATTAATATAAAAGTAAAGTATGGCAATATGTAAATCAATGGAAGTGTAACTGATGTGATTCTGCAATCTGTATACGGGGTAAAAATGGGAGTTCATAACCCACTTGAATCAAAGTGTGAAATATGATATATCAAGAACTATGTAATGTTTTGAACAACCAACAATAAAAAAAAAAAGAGAGATGAAAAATAAGGGAAAAAAAAAGTAAAGGGGAAGAAAAACAATTAAGAAATGCTCATTTTGTGCTTTTCCCTTTCTCCACACAAAAATACAGGAACTGCTGGGCATACTCAATGTCCACAGCTTGTTTTTCCCAGATGATTTATGCTGCCCACCAGCTTCATGTTTAGGAACCTCCAAAGGAATCCTTCTACACCACCCAGTTCTCTATCCAGCTAAAGATTTCATGAATTTTCCACGTGAAGTTACTGAAAGAACATAAGAGTTCCTCTAATTTAGGACTAAGCTCCACACATTATTTTTCCTATCACTTACTTGCAAGAAATCAGAGCAGTCTATAAGACTACTGAGTTTACTATCCCCTTTTATGGGCAGTACTGTATCAACACAAGTGCACCTCATTCTCAGAAAGCTGTCCAGGTTCCAAAGAATAGCACTGCCATCCCAGGTACTGAGGCAATAATTAGAAAATTAATTTGATGAATGGCTAGTAAAAGAAATGGCTGACTGTGAGGCACAGGTAGCTCCTTTGTGGCAAACTTCCAAAGTTTGTTTTTGTTCTGTTTTCTGATACTAGGACTTTAACCCCAAGGTGCTTTACCACTGAGCCACATCCCCAGTACATATTATTTTTTGAGAAAAAGTCTTGTTAAATTGCCCAGGCTGGCCTGGATCCTCCCGCCTCAGCCTCTCAAGTCACTGGGATTAAGTATATATCACCATGCCCACCTATAGAGCCATTTGTGATAGTCAAATGCCCAGGGTCACTTGAAAATATATACATCTTTCAATGTTCTGGATTTTGGCAGGGCCCACAAGGAGCATCACAGACAGAAGCTTGTCCCCTCTCACACAGCCTCCAGATCTTTTGCTAGGTAAAAACATCTTGCCAGCAATAACTTAGCTATTGTCTATATTCATTAAGCTTGGGAGGAATGGTTAAACAAAATGATGAAAACAGAACCAGACAACAGCAAAAGTACTTGGCAAAGCAGAAGCTGCAATATTTGAATACTAGTTTTCTCCTATAATATAAGATCATACTTCCCAGACCCAAGGATCACTGCTCTAATTGAGGTGAAGAGACAGTCCCTGTCAACTTCGCTTCCCCAGTTCTGAAGAAGTATGGTATCTGCAGTAATATCCTAGTAAACCTAGGATATTTTTCACAAACCCCAAAGAAATTGCCTTAAGGGTGGTCTTTGCTATAGTTTGGGTCTTCAATGTGCCCCAAAGGTCCATGTGTTAGAGGCTTGGTCCCCAGTGTGATAGTATTGGAAGGTGATGAAAACTTTTGAGTAATGGGGCCTAGTGAGCAATCAATCTTTAGGTGACTGGGGGTATGCCCATAGAGGGGACAGTGAGACCACAGCACCTTCCTCTTCCTCTTTCACTTCCCAGCCATGAGGTGAAAAGCTCTGCTCCACCACACATTCCTACCATGCTATAACACCACAGGCCCAAAGCACTGGGGCTGGTCCTGAACTGAAACCTCCAAAACTGAAAGCCAAAACAAATCTCTCTTTGTAAGATGATTACAGCAGGTATTTGTTATACAAACAGAAAACTGCCTTACACAATTTCACTCCAAGATTGCACTTCAGAGTAACCATCCTACCTTGATAGAAGCAATATGAAGCAAAGTTTCTCCTCTATGGTTTCTTTTCCCAACCATAAAGCTACCAGGCAACAGCTTCCTCGCAGAGGGGCTCAACATCATTCGTCTGTAACTTGAACTATTCAGTGTAGATGGTGGTGTACATGGTGAAAGGCTAATGGACTCATCTGATGTATTACTGTTTTTCCTCTTCGTCATGTCATCCCCTTTAAGTTTGCTGGGAGGTGGGGAGGAACAGTCAAGCAATGGCATGTTTTCTGAGAGAACTGTTTGCTTAACGAAATCTCCACTGGTGCTTGGAATGCTGCTTTTACATCTCTTAGACGTGGAGCCAGACAACCTGCGACAACACCCACGTTTGCCAGGGAGACCGGAGACCAAATCTGCCTTAGTTGTAAGATCACTGTCAGTGACCTCTTTCTCCTCAGGAGTCATCTCATTCTTCCCCTCAAGGTCTGGAGACTCTATATGCTCAGCCAATGGTAAAAAGACCTCAGTTAAGCTTCCAAAGCTTTCAGATTCTGTTCCAGAGCCACTTGCTAATAAGTCTATTTCACCATTTATCTGTGGACTAGTGATAACTGATGGTGAGCTACAGAAGGATACCACCCTTTCCTTAAATTCCTCTTTGGAGTCAAGTTCACCAGCTTCTTTTTCCACTTCTAAATTCCATTCTTGGTTGATTTCAGCTAAAGTTTTCTTTTTTTGCTTCTTTGCAGATGTTGTAGAAGCCTTTTTAGCCCTCTTAGGAACAACTACAGGAGGACTTGAAGAAACAAATTCATACATTGATGCTTGCTGAGTTCTATCATCTTTTACTTTTTGAGGCTGGGTCTGCACTGAAACTTTACTCACAACATATCTGACCCTCTTGCTTCGAGGACTAAACCACATCTTTATTGAATTCTTCTTGTTTTCCGAATCATTGAATATATTTGTTCTAGATGTATCATCTTTCAAATCTGATAGAAAAAAGAAAAAGATCTGTTATAGGGACTAACTTTTCCCATCTTGAGCTAACAAAGAATTTTGTTTATAGTTCTTCTAAGGTACATAAATTTGTATTTGTGTACCTCTTTTCTCATTCCTACACTATGGACTCTTTGCAAGAAGGCAGACGCTCATTCAACAAGCATTTGCTAAATCCTTCTTTATGGTAGACACCATAGTAGAAACTAGAGGAAAAGCGAGAACTCAACATGGAATTGAAGGGAGACAGAAAAATAAGTGAAATACATAGTATGACAGAGGGTGATAAAAGATATGGAGGGAAATACACTCATAAAATAGAGAAAGAAACAACTGAGTATGGAATTGAACACCTGTAATCCCAGAGATGTGGAAGACAGGGGCAAGAGGATCACAGGTTCAAGGCCAGCCTCAGCAACTTACCAAGACCCTGTCTCAAATTAATACTTAAAGAAAGGAAGAAAGGGAGGGAAAGAGGGAGGTGGGGGAGGAAAAGAAAAGAAAAGAAAACGAAAGCAAAGAAGAAAAGGACAGATGTAGGATTTAATAAGCAGAAAACAATTAGTGTTTAATGTTTCAAAAATTGCAAATCAATATAATTTATTATATCAACAAACTAAAGGAAGATCATGTGACGTTCTCCATAGATACAGAAAGAAAAATTTGATAAAATTCAACATAATTCTTTCATTTTCTTTTGAAGACTTGGTACCAAAAAAAAGCTAAAACTAGACTAACACATGAACTAGTTGTTCCATCTTTGGGTATATAACCATGGGATATCCAATCAGTACAACAAAGAAATGACTATTCACAATAGTTAAGACATAAATTCACCCAAGAAGTATCTACAACAGACAAATGGATAAAGAAAGTACAGTATACATACACAATGGAATATCACTCAGTTGTTTTTTTTTTTAAAAAAGAGAGAGATAATTATTTGTAGAAATATGAATGGAACTAGAGAATATTATGTTAAGTGAAATAAGCCAGGTATTAAAAAAAATATGTTCTCTTTCACATGAATAAGTTTAAAAAAGTTGATTTTATTGAAGTAGAGAGTAAAAGAGTGTAACTACGAATTAGTAAGGGTAGAGGTGTAGAGATAGAAGATTGGATAAGGGTATCAAAATACTATTAGGAGGAATATGATCTAATATTCTACAGCACAGTAGGGTGACTACAGTTGACATAAATTTGTGATATATTTCATGAAGAGCTAGATGGGACTGAAAAATTCCTAAAACAAAGAAATGATACAAGTTAAAGAAAATATAAATACAAATTATCCTGATTGGAAAATTATTCATTGTATACATATATTGAGTTATCACACAGTTCCACCAAAACATGTACAATTTTAACAAGTAAAATAATTTTGAATGAAAAAAAAAGGAGTAAACCTTAATGTAAACTATAGACTAGTTGAGAATAATGAGTCAACATAGGTTCATCAATTACAGCAACTACACTACTCTAGTGGATGTTGATAATAAGGGAGACTCTGCATGAATGGGGGCAAAGGGGATATAAGAATTCTGCACCTTCTTCTTAGTTTTGCCGTAAACTAACTCTGCTCTACAAAAATAAAGTGTTTAAAAAAATTTTAATAAAAAAGACTCAGCAAATTAGTAATAGAACTTCTTCAACTGCTTCTACAGCATAAAATATATCCTTTCTTTGCATTGGGTTGGAATGAGATCCACAATGCCTTGTAGATTGAAAAAAAACCATTCATTCATTCATTAAATATTTTGAGCATCTACTATATGCCAGACATTATTCTAGGCACTAGGGATATGGTAAAGAAGAGAGGAAATTTTTCCTTCATACATTTTATGGTTCTAATAGAGAATGAAAAGACATAGAAATCTATGTAAAATGACAGGGTTAAAATCTGTAAGTTTAGAGTATTAGGAATAAGTCTCAAAAAATGTGATAAATTCACTGAATAAATTTGTGCCTAAAAGAGTATAGTAAAAGTTTTTCCTATCCAACAAATTGTACAAACCACCCACTTTTCTGATTCTGACAGCCAGCTTCCTTTTTGTCTTACTTTGTTTTTGCCTTTGATACCATTCATTTTCTTAAAAAAAAAAAAAAAAATCTCTTGGGGTGGGGGATAGCTCAGTGGTGGAATGTTTGCCTAGCATGCACAAGATGCTGTGTTCAATGACCAGTATCACATAAATAAACAAACAAACAAACAAACAAAACCCAGCGAATTTCTTTTTTCCTTGAAGTCACTCTTCCTGCCCCTCCTATCCATATTCACATACATAAAATCAACCCAGGTCAGGCAGCACAGTGTTGAATACAAGGATAATGCCCAGTATATATTGATGAATAAATTATTTGATTCCCTCTTCAAAATTGAAAAGTATTTATATAAGAGACATTAGAATTAATTTAAAGGCTACAGTTGCAACTCAGTGGTAAAGCATATATTTTTAGCATGCATTTGGGATATGTTTTATGTGTCCTATTAAGAATTTTAAAAGGAAACTACTTGACATGTTTTCCTCCTCAGATGTCATTTGTCATTCAAGCCAAGAATTTTGTAAACAAACAAACAAAAAAGAAACTCCTACATTACAGAACCAAAAAGAAAAAAAAATTAATAGAACGGAGTTCTAAACATTAGATTCTTTAAGAAAAATGCCAACTGCCACACTTGGTGCACCTCATTCTTAAGGACTAATAGCAGCTACTCTGTGTGAAATGTGCTAAGTAAAATTTTCAAATGGGGTTATTCTTAAGAACTTTCGTTACTTTAAAGACACAAAATAATTTTAATTTTTAATTTTTTTTTGAGAATAACTCTTTTCAATGTTCTCATTATTATGGTTTTAGATATAAGAGGTATCCACCCAAAGCTCAATGCAAATGCACAACCAGGCAAGGTGGCTCATGCCTGTAATCCCAGAAGGGATTGCAAGTTCAAGTCCAGACTCAACAATTTAGCAAGGCCCTAAGCAATTTAGGGAGACTTTGTCTCAAAAACAAAACAAAACAAAACACCTCAGCAGTTAAGTGCCCCTGGGTTCAATCCCAGTACCAAAAAATAAAAAATTTAAAATTAAAAGAGAGAGAGGGGGAGAGAGGAGAGAGGGGGAGAGAGAGAGAGAGAGAGAGAGAGAGACAGAGAGAGAGAGAGAGAGAGAGAGAGAGAGACTGTGTGTGTGTGTGTGTGTGAGTTCAGAGGTAAAATGATTGGTTAGGAGAGCCTTAAACTAATTAGCGCATTAACCTACTGATAGGACTAACTGCGTGATGACTGTAGGTAAGTTGTATGTGGCTGAAAGTGTGGCCATGGGGTTTATAGTTTGTCTCTGGTAAGCAGAATTCTCTCTGATTCCTGATTGTCATGTCCTGAGCTGCTCTCCTCCTCCAACCTTTCCCTTTCATGGTGTTCTGCCTCACCTCAAGCCCAGAGCAGTGCAACTGCTGTAGGAACTGAGACTTCTGAAACTGTGAGTACCAAATAAATGTTTCCTCTAAAATTGTTGTTGTTAGGTCTTTTGGTCACAGTTGCAAAAAACAAACAAAACAGAACACAACTATAAGCATTCATGTCTAGAAATACTACAAAGTATATTATCATTATCATATATTTTTATTTCCTTCCAGTCACTCTTTATTCAGAGAACCCCATGGTTTTATTGTTTATCAATTTAAAATTATTAATACACCAGCTAGAGACAGTGATACATGCCTGTAATCCCAGCAAAGTGGGAGACTGAGAAAACAGGAACATTATTTCAAGATCAACCTCAGCAATTTAGCAAGGCCCTAAGCAACTTAGTAAAAAAACCGGTATCAAAATTAAAAAAAAAAAAAAAGGTTGTAGATGTGGCTCAGTGGTAAAGTGCCTCTGGGTTCAATGCGCAATACCATGAAAAAAAAAAATTATTACCATATCAGAAGATTGTTTCAATTTATATAAAATTCAAAGTCACTTCTTTTGTCTTATGTCTTTTACCTCATAATCCATGAGTACAAAAGTTCCATCTTTACAGACAGACTTACCAAGTAAACGGTAAGAAGAAATAAAAAATATTTGATTTTGAGAAATAGATAATTACTCTTTAACTCAGTAGAAATTTCAAATCTGATCCCTACCTAACCGGAAAGGGGAAAAAAAAATAACAAGTATACTCCCAACAGTGACTACTTCCTTCTGGTGAAAATGAAGCATTTCACTGAAGACAGAAAACCAATAACTCACCTAGATGCAGAAGTATGTATCTGAATAAGGAAAGACCTTCCTAACCTTTCTATCAGGTTACTGATTGATTGATTGCAGTACTAGGAATTGACCCCAGTGGTACTTTACCACTGAGCTGCATGCCCAGATAGATAGATAGATAGATAGATAGATAGATAGATAGATTTTTTTTTTTTTTTTTTTTGAGACAGGGTTTTAAGTTGCACAGGGCTGGCCTTGAACTTGCAATCCTCCTGAGTGGCTATGATTACAGTATGTACCACAGTGCCAGATCAAATATTTTTTTAATATCATAGTTGAACATCATATGGTCCACAAAGTGTTACTAAGACAGGATCTTGGAACTAAAACAATCAAAATGAGGCATCCGTTCACAATGTGATTTTACATCTAAATTCAACAAGGTCTTTTCTTTGCACCACTAAGTCGATTTGAAAACCAAGCCATTTCTGATATAATCTCAAGACTAGAGGAAAGGTCAAAAGGAAATGTTACCAGGACTACTTTTAAAGACAGACTCAGGATTACAAAGATTTAAAGGTTAACCTTCAGGTAATCTGTAAAAATCTGTATTTGGGTCTTTTAAAATTTGTTTCTTTAAACACAGATGATGACATTTTCAATAAAAATAAGTCAAATCCCAAAGTCTTCAATGTTTATAATCTTACAAAATGCAGAATTGAGTTTTTAAAAGAAAATTAAGGTTTACAAGTGTACTAACACACTCAGCTGACTAAAAACACTAAATCTAAAAAGGAAACA